AATAGATTTCGAGATCAAGAACGTATAGGTGAAAGCCGCTTGCGATTCCGAGTTTTAACGGTATAATTACGGATATTTGAAGTTGTGTTACTAATCTATATATTTTAATTTATTTTAAAACTCCCGCATAGTGGGAGAGGGACCAGGGAGAAATAGGAAATAAAAGGGAACGGACAGAAAAAAAAAGGGGAAGGAGGGTCTGATTTTGACCCGTTTTTGGGCATTTTCGACCCCTTTGACCCATAAACTTGACCCGCTCATATCTTCTTCATCCGAGCTCCGTTTTGGGTGATCTTGGTGTCCATGGAAAGCTCTTGAAAAGCCCTACGACCCTGTGGTGTTAGATTTCCCATTTTCTGATCCACTTTTCCAGTTCTAGGCAGCAAAGTCCAATGGGTTTTCCGGCGATTGTGTCATTTTTCCGGTGATTCCGGCAACCATTTCCTTCGAGTGAGGTATGAAACTTCATCTAATCTCCAAGTTGGTATGCTTGGTTTGTGCTTTCGTATTCGTTTTAGAGTTGGGTGTTTAAAACCCTAGAAACCCGGTTTTCCCCGATGAATTTGAATAGTTTCCGGTTAGAATTTGTTGTTGGCCTAGTTGTAAATAATGTTTCCCTTGTTGAGATCTTCATTCTTGTAAAATATGAGAATTTTTGGAAAAAGTCGAATTTTCCGATGTGTGGCATTCGATTTATGAAATGTTGTTGGTTGAGTATATTTAGATAGGTCCACCACTTGGATATTCTAACAATTGACGATACTTTAAATTCTTATATTTATATCATTTGTGAATATGGCTTGGTGTTATAAATGTGATTTCTATTGAAATGTGATTTTATATATTTAGCCGTAAACATATGCTTATTAGCATGATTTGGCTTGTGTACTGATGATGGTTGTGATATATGTGAGTTTAATTATCCTTTTAGTAATGTGAATGATGAGTATGATTATTTTCATGACAATGTGATCCTAGAATCCTATTAGAGGTATGTTGTAGCACTTATATGCTTGGGTGACATTAGTGGTGACCTCGAGAAGTTGATGGTGTAGGCGACTACGTTGTAACTCATAGGGGTTGAGATGTGGATAAGTTGAGGTGTTGAGTTTACTGCACCATGTAGTAGTTGTACATTGATGGTCTTGCTTGGTATATCCGCATTGAGGGACCATACGCATTCTAGGAGTGATCATGCTTGGTATATCCGCATTGGGTGATCACTACCTACCTGATTATTTTGACTCTGCTTGGTTAATCCGCATTGGGGGGTCATTAGTGGTCCTGCTTGGTTAATCCCTATTGGGGGACCATACTATATATGGATCGCGCTTGGTTAACCCGTGTTGGGTAATCCTTATGGCCATGTATGCTTAGGAGTGATCATGCTTGGTTAATCCGCATTGGGTTATCACTTCCTAATAGTTGTAGGGATGACTCTGCTTGGTTAATCCACATTGGGGGGTCACTGCCTACTTGGTTACTTTCTTAAGGGTGGCTCTGCTTGGTTAATCTGCTTTGGGGGGGGCCACTTCTTGTTTGGTTACTTATGTGGGCTTCAGTTGAATTGCGTCCCTCTAGCACTAGTTTTAATGTACATATGAATGATGGTTTTTGAGAATCTTGATGGTTTGAATGGGATAAGTCGTTGGATGTCTGGGTGACTTCTTCGGAGTTGTTAGAGACTTGATAATGTTTTCATATTTACGAACTTATATTTGAGGTTATAAACTATGATCAATGGTCTTTCTTTTTATAGATTATCTCATACTTGTAAGTTGGTTCCATTGAGTGGTCCGGAACCCAGTGTTGTTGGATCATGTTGAGTGGTTCGGAATCCTTGCTTTTGCTCATTTCCATAAGGTTATCTTAGAATCCTAGATTCGAGTGAATGAGAATTACGCACAATGGATCTTGTGCATACAAATTAGAATTATCATGTTATTATTCATAACTCAAGTAGGGAATTATGTAGAGTTCTTTAATTAAACTCGTGAAATGATGTGCTATCTCACTGATTAATTAACGTAATTAAATATTAATATTGTGCTTCGTGATTCCCTGATATGTTACAAGCTATGGATAAAGATATAATGTTGGAAGCATAGTGATTGGTATGATGTAGTGAAATGTGATTTGACTTGTGAATTGGAAACGGTTGTGTCATGTGATTGAAATGCCTATTGAATTGCTTGGGAGATGTGAGATCTAGTAATGGACCGATAACCCATTGTGATGGGGATTTGTTGCTCGATATTAGTTCGTTTTGTTGAGTCTTCGTGAATTGAGTAACTTGAATCCTATCTTGTTCCTTCGAGCCGTAGTTATGCTTCTTGGACTTCCGTTCGGTTCTGTTGAATGGTTTGGAACTAAGTTCTGTTTGGATTCCGTTGAGTGATGGTCCAGAATCCCTTATACTCTGCGATTCCGTTGAGTGATGGTCCGAAATCGTATCATTGACTTGTTAGTTCCTTGGATTGATATCAACTTCTGAGATGTAGGCTTCGGCCAAAATGTGTCACTCTAGCCCTGCATTTTGGTATATGATGTGTTGTTGATTGATGTGATTGTGGAATAATGTTGGTTGTGATTTTTGTCATTATAATTAGACTCGTTGACTATTTTGGCTAGAGAATAACATAGTGATCCATTGATTGTTCTTTGAGATGTTGCATATTATGAAATGGAGAATCATGTGAAAAGGAGTGATTTATATGAAGGATGAAGTGGAAAATATATGTGTGGGCATAGCATACCTGCGTGCATGACAAGATGATAGTTGTGTATGGCTTATGGTTGATGCGTAGTGTGGTACCCTATGTTTTTTTCACTATAAGTATTTTACGAAAAGATTAAAGTTTGACGAACGTTGAACTACGAATGGCTTGATCCCTATTGAGGGTACGTAGGCAGTCTAACGAAGAGGTTAGATGCAGCCATAAATTGTACGAAAAATGCTATGAAATTTGAATCTTGATTTATGCTTTGTACATATCCCGGAGGCGGGGTATGTTAGATGTACGGGTATTGGTGACGTCACGTGTCGATTCTGGACGTATGTTGGGACCGGGGCGTGACATAAAATACATATTTCAGATTCTAGAACCCTTATCCCTTAGGTGCCGCATATATGCTTTTACCTTGGTGAATTAGGAATTGTAATCCTTCCCTACAAACCATGCCGTGTATCCTTGTCCTTTTAGGTCCAGAAATCTGTTCTAAAAAACCTTTTCTAGAAGCTCAAGGTTCTGCCGTACCTTTCTAACCTAATTCCCCTTGGTTTTTTATTGTTTTAACCAATTCCACTTGGGTTTTGGTTACACAATCATTGTCCCACTTTGATTTCAGAAACCTAGCATAATCCTTAGGGATTGTGCCTCACCTCAGCCCTATAAATACATCATTTCTGCCACAATTCAAATCACCACCCTCTACCATATTCTTCTACACCACACAACCATATATTCTGATACAATTCAGAGAGGAGCCATTTGTCGTGCCTTGCCATTCAACATTGGATTGCTGGAGCGTTCTTAGGTGTTTTCTATCCTTTCTTTTCAATGTTTAAATTTAATTATCTTTGTTTAATTGCGAACATGTGGAACTAATTTCTTTATAGTTAGAGGTGAATTCGAAGTCATGATTATATGCTTTATATGAATTGATTACATCCAGTTATTGTTTCTTGAGTTTTGAATGTGATTTGCTTATCTGAGTTATTAAAACTTGTTTATGTATGTTGATTGAGGGTCGACACTTAATTTGCATGCATGAACTTGATGCTAGAGTATAAGAGAGTTTCACCTAATCATTATGAACTTATATTCACAAGTAGTGGAGGTTGCTAGTCACGATCGTGTTAAGTGAATCATTGGCAGGAGTATCATACTTTTCATAGTTACGAATGCCTCGTCAATGCTTATGATTTTCAAAGAACTTAATGATCTTTGATATGTTTTCTATCATGCTTTTCATAGTTAGGGAACTTGATAAGGATAATTTGGTTGTGACGCGTATCCCGTCCAATTCAATGAATTAAGGAAAATCTAATGGTTAATTTGTGCTGTCACGATTAACTTGGAGTGTTGTCATTCATAGACAAAAGGGAACAATACTGGAAATCGATTTGTGTATGTATATGTCATGTGTGGAGAAGGACCCTCTAACTAGCCTTTCACCCTTTTCAATTCATCAAATTCGTTTTTATAAAGTGTTTTATGCAAAGTTTCTGTTTTAAGTTTTAAATTCGTCAAAAACAATTCCTCATTCATTAAGTCTTGTTAGTTGAGTCATAATCTGTTTTATTTTAGTCTTTTGAGTCAAGTTAAGTCTTATTTTCGTCAAAATCACTTGTTAGGTCTAGAATTGAGTCTTTTTGATTGTTTGTTGCTGTTTTGAGTGTTTTGAGTCAGTTTTGAGTCTATAGAGTCTAGTTTAGTGTTTTTTAGTCTTATTTGTGTTGATTAGCATCCCTAGTTAATCCCCGATCGAGAACGATCCCTACTTGCTTAATACTACAATTGTCATCAATAAGGTTTAATTTGTGTGTCAAGTTAATTCTCACATCACAAATCCATGGTGCGGGTTCAATTTTCACTGATTCTACTCACCTAACAAAGAACCATTTAACATACTAATGTTTTCGCTCTACTACAAAAATTGAACATGAAGTAACATCAAGCCAAATGCATTTCAAATTAACATCAAGCAATCCAGACCGCACCACATTTAAATAATTAAACCGAAATTACTATAATTATTGTAAATCTGAAAGACAAAATGCACCAATGGAAGAGATTTCTTCAAGTGATGGGTATTCAAGCAGCACTCGACCTGTAATGATACAAGTGTAGAAAATGATATATTTTTCTCTGTCCCAACGTGGAGTACCCACTTGAATATCGGGTGCTTGAAAAAATTTCTCCACCAATGGGACGGATTGAACTTTCTCCGGCAACTTGAGATGGACAAACCAATGTAAGCATTGTTAAACGATGATGTATACAAATAACTCAAATATTTCTTTCTTTCTATTTCACATTCATTAAGTCAATCTGATTAAACATGTAAATTCCTTGCTTCATCAAAACCACCCCCATTACAAAGCTTTCAAACCCTTGAATAAAAACAAATAAAAGGGAAACGAAACCTGGAAAAACTATACACCATGTTAAAAGGAATAAACACCGCCACCCCCGTCTTAATCTGTTACGGACACAACTTCTTCACTCCTAACATCATCGCCAACATCGATAACAATAATAATTAATAATAATAGAGGGAAAGAATATACTCCAGAAAGAGCAAATACCTAAAAGGGTAAGTCTGCAGTTTACTTTACTGCTAAACTGGGATGACATCATTCTTTGATGCATCATCACATCTCAACACAATACCCTCGACGCTGGCTGGAAAGATACATTTGGCCCACTGGCATCCTGTCGTGATCGGCTCAGGTGGAGGAACAATCATCAGCACATTTTCATTTCTTTGGACGACTCCCATTACACTAACTGTGCTTCCTTCTTTAATGTACCTGCAAATACGACATTGCAGTTTAGCGCTACAACCACTTTAATTTGCATCTACCAAATTCAAACTACTTGTATGGAAAAGTAAACAAATCTCATTCACATTACTTATACAGTATCGGTAGATGTCAGAGCACACAGTTAAGTTCCTATACCAACTCCAATTTATTTGTCCTTAAATAAGCACCCGCCGAATTGGTAAGGCATACGTATCAATCCAAACCATACGATTAATTCATTAAAAAATTTATGGGTGTGAAGACGGGGCAAGGTCTAAGTATTTATTCACTCAGATTTAGTACCGGGTTGGTAGGCTGGGTCAACTATCTTAAGGGTAAACCTTTGGCTGTATAGGAAAGCCTGCTATAAAACAACTGCAGTACTTTTCAACCTAGAAAACCCAACCAAATCTGTACATTAGCCACCCAACTTCATGCTAATGCCTCCACTGAGAAAACCTAAAATCAGTAGAAAGCCCTACATCCCGGTTTACTTCCAGAGAACATGAACACTGGCTATTCAAAATTACACTATAAAATCCATAAAACGGGCATTTAAGTTTAACTCATCTATAAATATAGATTATGTGGGGAAATCTCATTGAACCTTACCATTATAGTAATTAAAAAAGAGCTTCAAGGTAAATTAATTGCATGATAACACTAAAATTTACACCAAAGAATAATTGTATGATAGAGCTATTACCCTTCTTTCAACCGCATCATGCGGTCATCACTTGAAAGATTCCTCTCTCCCAACCACCTAATAAACTCTGGAGACAACTCTTCATTTTCAGGATTCACATCAATGACAAACGAATCTTCAACATAAGGAGTCACCCTTGCCCCAGAACCAGTCTTAACCAATGCTCTTAACCCAGATTGGAAATCAGAGATGTAGAAATCTACCAAACGCCTCTGTCAAATGACATAAACAGAAAATTTGAGTCATAAGTGAGAAATCTAAAGCAAAAGAATTTCCAAGCCTGGTAGCCACAGAGGTCCCATGACATCACCATGGAATGGCTCCTAGAAACTAAGCATTCAAAGCAAGAAGCGAAGTAAACCAGAAACATATATATATCAACAAAATTCAAATAGCAGCACTTAGTGGATTGACATTTTAGTATTGTACACTGTTTGTCAACCTCTAAAACACATTAAAAACTGTCACAATTTCACCTGCAAGCAAAATTAGCCAACCTCAGAGTCTTAAATCATTTGAACGTAAATGAAAAAAAAGGAAATCAGTTAGTTAATTTGAAAACCCCAAATCCCCAACCCAATAAAAAAGGAAAGAAAAAGCAGGAAGAGAGAGACCGCTTTATCCATCAAATATTAAGCTAAGTTTCAGTGACTCACTTCTATGGACCTGAGCCCCCAAGTAAATCGACGATGTGTAGGGTTGGCAGCTTTTGAATCCCATCCTCGATACTCATATAAACTGGTAGATGTATACACACATCTAGGAATTTTTTGAAAGGACGACTCAAGAGGTAGATTGCCACAAGTGACCACCTTCAGAAACAGAACCAGATAAGAATTGTAAAAAAATACTGATTTGCATATACAGTACAATAACCATGGTCAATCCAAAGAAAAAGCACACAAACCCAACTCATTTGTATTAGAACCTAGAAGATAATATTATACAGAAATAGAATTTCCAGCAATTAAATGCCCCAGTGTATCTCCATCTCGCCCTCCTTCAGAGATCTTAATAACATTTATAAGCCACACTTTCAAATCCATCAAACTTACCCCTGAGACCTTCACAAATTGCCCATTCTTTGCAGTCCTCAGCTCGGAATCTGAATAACTAGCAATATAACCTATAATAGCTCGTCTTCCCCAATAAGTATTCCATGTGAATAGTGTAGCAACTAGACCGAAAAGGATCACAACCACGATAAGGAGAATTGCATTGTGGACTGCACCTAGAATAAAACCACCAGCTATGAACCCCATCACGAACAGAAGAATCAAAGACCACATAATTAACTTTGGGAAGTTCTTCTTAAATGAAAACTCGTCATCTTGGCTGAGAGTAGTAATGGCCTGATTGTGAACAATGGAGGAACCGTGTACTTTCATTGAACCCATTGACTCTAAAGGACCAGATACCTTACGAGGGGCACCAGAAGAATTTAGTGGGCCAGAAGAAATGGGCCCAGATGTAATGAGACCGGTTGCAGGGAGAACAGGAGGAAGAGGTCCAGAGTTTGGCCGGCCAGTTGGTGTTACCCCACCAGATTGTGGACCAGACAACTTCTTTAAAGGTTCCCCATGCTTATTCAGTGGTCCAGAATTTGACTTCTTTAAGGAAGCAGAACCGGGCATGCCTCCAGATGATACGGGACCTGATGTGGTATAGCCTGCACGAGCTGCAGAATTAGGGATTGGTCCTGAATGTGAAGCAGCACCTCCAAAAGATCCAGTCCTTGAAGAAGCACCAGTTATAGGTCCAGATTTTCTAGACTTAGAGCCATCCGTAGGGATATCAAACATCTTCCCTAGTTCTCCCGACTTCTTGATATCTCCACCAGTATAGGGCACGGCAACTGAGCTCATAGTTGGAGTCCTTTCCTTTGGTTGCTCTGGCCGGCCTGATACGTAAAGGCCATTGCTGAGTTGATGAGAATTGAATCTGGAACCCATCTAGCTCCTTAAAAGATCCCACGAGATATTACACAATAAACTCAACTAGCAGACGAACGGTTCAGTGATGTGATCCTCCTAGGGGAAAAAAGGCACTGCAAAAGTTAAAATCATCACTTATTGATTATCTAAAAACCAAATAGTAACCCACAGCCACGATATAGTAACACATAAATGAATTGCAGAATGGAAAGGAAGTAAATGGAGAAAATAAATGTTATATAGTTACTAACAATTAACAAATAAAGAAGAGTCACAAAAGAATTAGATTACGATGCCTTCTCAGATCTCCAGTAAAGCTAAAACATTTTAAAAATTTATATACTTCATTCATATGTCATGGAAAAGTTATCACAAAACACATCTAATTTATACACCACCACTGAAATAGTCAACACCCATGCCATGTTTTTTCCTCTATATATACCCACTCGACAACCTATAGTTACTCCCACAAGTGTACAACCTTTTTCCTCTCTTAAAAATAATAGAACTAAATATACAAGTGGAGTTTCAGAGAATATACAAGAACTATCTTATTGAGTATAATCTTATAATGTGGTTATGATTTGTGCCACTTAGAAACCAATCCTGCGTGTAGCAACGCTCATGCGCATGCATAACATCTTGTTTATGATAATCAAGAAAGTAAAGACAAAGCCATAAGCAACAAATTGATTCACTGTACTTTAGTTAAGTTTGAGTGGAGACTAGCATACACGTAGATTCATATAAGAATCCATGGTCCATAAATCATATGCACATTCAACTTTATACAATGAAAGCAGTATATCCTAACTCAAATGAACAATACCACGGACAAAATGAATTAATTTCAGGAACTGTAAGAAAAGCATTTCAAAAACATAAGCATGTTTTAGAAGGTCAGAAGTAATACTTAGATAATTAGGAGAAAGTATCTGAAATTCAGAATCATCCATTTGTAGTAAGATGCAAAAACTAAATTTCACCTCAAATCAGATTAACAAAGCAAGCCCACATCAATATTTTGCCCTTAAATCAATGTCACGAAAAAGATCTAGATAACAAGTGCAGATTTCAAGTGCTGCAGAGTTCAACGGGGGGTTTTAGTAATACCAAAATTCCAATGCAACAAAAAGGAAAGTTCAAGCATGTCCTTTCCAATTCCTCTACCCACACTTTCTCAGCAACCAAACAAAACTCAAAGAAACACAAACCAACCCAGATTTCAGGGAAGGTTAATAGCCAGCATAACCATTCCAAAAATGGAAAAATTCATCAAAATGGCACAATCTTCAAGCACCAACCGCCCAAATGTCCAATCTTTCTGCCCAAATAATAAAAATAAAGCATACCCAGATCACCATTTCGAGCAAAAACTAAGAAAATCGAAAGATCTAACAAAACAAGCAGAGATAGACTCTGAAATCTCACAGTCAAACAGTAGCTCACAAAAGAGAAAAAAAATTCATATGGGCAAGGGCCAAATGGCAATTAAGAAAAAGTTATGCATCCACATACCTGAAGGAGAAGCACGGGAAGCTGAAATCTGGAGAATTGAAGACATAATGGCTTCACTGATAAGTACAAAGAGCACCCAGAAAAGAAAAACCTCAGACTTTCTCTCTCTCCCCAAAATCTCTTTTGGGGTTTCTGTTTGTTTCTCACTAGCCACAGAGAGAGAGAGGGAGAGGAGCAAGCAACAACTGGTGGGTGTTCGTCTCGTCCGGCCAAAAACCTCCGAACCCAAAGAAATTGCGATTGCTTAGTACCAAGTTATACACGAAATTTATATACCAAGTATTATATATAGCTCACTCAGTGTATACACTGTCATTCTCTATTTTCCAATTAAAGGGGAAACTGTACAAATTATATGAAATGTCTGATATGCCCCTAATTTTGTAGGGATAATTTTTTTGGAATTGGAAGTTCTATTCACGCCCCAATTTTTAGCTTTCACATACTTTTATTATTATTTTTTATTAATCTTTTTAATTTATTGAATCCGACGGTCAAAAATTAAGATGATGTGTAACGAGTAAAAATGCGTGCGTAGATAACATTATCGTTGTTTTTTTCTTAATTTATTTTCCTTTCTATTTTCGTGTATTTTGTACCTTTTGGTTGTTAAAATAGTTATGTACAGTACTGTCAGTGGTCACACTCACAAGGTAGGATCTTTTTTATTTATTTTTTCCCAAGGTTTAATCTTTGTCTTATTTTTGTTTAAATAACATGTTAATTTTGTTTAAAAAAAAATAAAGATTTAATTTTTGAAGGAGGAAAATATGTAGAGTCATGAGGGGCATAAAAGAGGTTATACCTCACGGATATGTTGGGTTTCACCCTCATCCCTAATGTACCGTTTGGTACTTGGGACGGGACGGGACGGAACGGGACGAGCCGTTCCGTCCCACATTTGATGTGCCTAAAAACTGTGGAACGGGTTATCCCATAGGATGAAATTTGGTTGATTTTTCGTTCCACCTCTTCCCCCTAGAACGACTCGTTCCACATCCGTAGAACACAAATTTATTACATTTTATGATAAAATTTCTCCTTATCTTTTTCAATATTTACATCATTCGTTCTGTCATGTTCCGTCCCGTCCCGTCTGCGTACCAAACGGTACCTAATGTCCCTTCTCAAAATTCCCATAATAACCTATTTAATATCTGTAAATTTCTAAAGATTTGAGTTGATAAGTACGAATGATTCATTAATGAGTACATGCCAACTGAGTTAAGATAAACTTGTAAGGAAAATTTCGCTTACTAGACAGCACGATTTGCTCTGTTGCCAAATGATAAATGCACACGTATATAATGATAAGATGTTAAAGTGATAAGTCGGGTAACATAACTGGTCGGATAAACTCCACGAAATATGTGGAGAAACGATCAAATGCACACATGCGGGATGTAGCGTGGAAGTGTTTTCCTTGTGGAGACCACTCCTGAAGTGGTGAGTAAACCGCTTAAACTCTTTCAGGGTCGAACTTAATTATTAATGACGTAAAAGTTAATGCATGGAAAGATAGTTGAGAATTTTCTTGCTTTTAGACCATCTCCAACTCTTAGGGATAAAGCTTAAAAATTTAAGCTGGAAAGTTTTAAACGATAACCTAGAAACTGTTTTTCTCCTCCAACCTTTATGACTTCAAGTATAAGCTTTAAAACCTCCAAAATCATCTCCAATCATTGGACTAAAATAAGTCATGGGAAGAAAATATACCTCTGGCTAGATTTCTTCATGATTTAAGTCTATATTAAATTATTCTTGACCCACCAAATTGTTATATTTCAAACTTTTTTTTTTTACTTATAATCTAACAGCTGTGATCAAATGAGATCAAATTCAATGGTGAAAAGAAAGATATGATTGCCCAAATTTAAATCTAATGTCTAAAATAATTTAAGCAAATTATTTTAATCGAATTTCACTTAAAACTTTACAAATACCTATGTATTTGTATGATTATTAATTACTTATCGAAATTTAAATATTTTTATATTAAAATGTTCATAAAAATAAATTAGTATAATCTACATAAATTTTATTATAAAAATGTTACCCAAAAAGCAAAGGCTAAAATCAATATTTAATATATCGAGCTAAAATTTTAAGCTATAATGTTTCAAGGGGAAAAGCAGTTTTTTGGGTTATAGCTTAAAATTTTCTGACTTAAAATTTTAAGCTTTATCTCTAAGGATTGGAGATGGTCTTGTAAATCGAAAACTCTCAAACTTTTCAAGGGTGCGTTTGGAAATTTTCTAGAGAAGCAGGTTTCCTTGGGAAGCACTTAGATTTTCTGAAGAAATTTTAAACGTAATTCATACAAAATCACTTCTTAAAAATGAGCATAGATGTTTTCTTAAGAAGTAGTACGAAACCAGTCCAAGCATTCGTACAATGATTTGGGATTAGGTAAAATAGGGGAAAAGGGCATGATGAATGATGAACCGAGCAGGTGCCTCGTCCTTCTCAAGAGAAATTGATCCGCACTGTCCGGCTACAATGCTACGTTCCACTAAGGGGTACAGGTTTTATGTAGGATATAATTGTTCTATTATATAAAAGATCTAAACTCTTAATTTCCCTGACCATTTAGTAATAAGTACCATGAGGTATCGTTTGGTATGCAGACAAAACGGGATGGAACAGAATAGGACAGGACGGAACAGAGAGAGAGCAAAGATACCATCAGATGGAAACAAGGAGGAAGAAGAAGGAGAGGAAGATGTTATAATTTTATGTTCCACGGATGTGGAACGAATCGTTTTAAGAGGGTGAGGCGAAACGAAAATTCACCAAAAACTCGTCTCGTAGAACAACTCGTTCCACTCGTTTTTGGCACACCAAACATGGGACGGAACGCCTCGTCCCACTCTATTCTGTCTCGTCCCACGTACCAAACGGTACCTGAAAGAACAATCGAAAATAGTGAAAACCATGCAGATTGTGAGAGAATAAAGCAAACGGATGAACAAAAACAAAAAATGAACTGATGAATTATATAACACTTTCCTTTATAACAGTCTCCTCAAACTTGTAAAATCCCCACTACAAGAAGCCACACCATTACAGAAACTTTCAAACCCTACGAAAAACAATGGATAAGAAATTTTCTAAAATCTATACACAAGGAGAGAAAAAAAAATCACGTCGTCTTAAACCATCAAGCTCGTCGCTGTTTATCACTACACCACCGCCACTGCCGCCACCCCCATCAATTTTGACACCGGGAACAAAATATTTCTCAAAAGAGCAATAATACCCGAAAAGTTTCATGGAGCACACAACCAACTAAACAGGTATGACATCGTTTTTCGAGGAGTCTTCACATCTCAAAACAACCCCCTCAAGGCTAGCTGGAAAAATACAATTGCTCCATTGGCATCCAGTCGTCAGTGGCTCGGGTGGAGGGACGATCATAAGAACATTGTCATTTTTATGGACAACTCCCATCACACTTACCGTGCTACCTTCCTTGATGTACCTACAAAACGAACATCACTTGCAGTTATGCAAGACTGACTCGGAGTAAACTGATTCATGCATTTCTTACAAATAATTACGAGCGCCTACAATGGATTAAGTGATAAGCTTTTACCCTTCTTTCAATCGCATTGTACGGTCATCACTTGAAAGATTCCTCTCTGCCAACCACCTGAGAACCTCCGGAGACATGTCTTTGTTTTCTGGGTTAACGTCAATAACGACGGACTCATCAACGTAAGGAGTAACTCTTGCTCCATAGCCGGTCTTAACTAGTGCTCTCAAACCAGACTGGAAATCAGAGATGTAGAAGTCCACTACATGGCTCTGTCAAGCAACACAGACAAATGTACACTTCAGCATTTTAGATCCTTAAACTCAAAAAAGCAACACCATCGCTTCATGCACATCGGCCCTCCAGTTGTCAACTGAGGCATTTATGTGATATGGAAATCCTTTTTTTGAGAAAGAAAAATGATTAGCAGAAGAAGCTTTGTAGACATAAAGCGGTAACTAAGATGTCTAGTGTATGCATCACAAAGGCAATCAACCACTTCACCGACACGCAAATCTTCTGTAATTTTTTCCTTCTTTCTTATTTGTGAAAAGAAAAAGGTCCCTGATTTGAGGATAAAAAAGAATATAACATTCTCTTTGCAATTGTTCTACTTAAAAACAGAAAAAATGTACAATCTCATTCGCAAAAGGCACTGAATTGAGAATTAAGAGATACGTAGAATATGAGCCTACGAGGAAACATATTACAAGGCTAATAAAGTTACAAGGCCTTTAAGCATTAACATGAAGTTATGAACACAACTTTTAAGCAATATATACAAAATAACAATTCTCGTGAGAAAAAGTACGATGTGCCAAGGACATACTAATTGTAGTCGTTAATGCCAAGGACATACTAATTGTGTGTGCTATGTCTTTTGTTGTCCAGTCGTTAATGCCATATACATGCCATTAAACTCTCAAGAAGTACCTGACCATAACTTCAAGAAAAATGTGAATAACTATGAGAAGTCTAAATGCATATAACTATAATCAGATACATGTTGCGGAGTATTCATATATTACATATCCATATTCAAAAGTTGGTATGGTTCTCCAATAGAATTATCCATGCTACATAATATTCCACAGGATTCAGTTACTGACCTCTGATGATCTAAGTCCCCATGTAAATCGACGATGTGTAGGGTTTGCTGGTTTGGAACCCCATCCTCGGTACTCATACAAACTCGTAGATGTGTAAACACACCTAGGAACTCTCCTGAAGGATGACTCAAGGGGCACATTACCACAGGTAACCACCTTCAAGAATTACGAAAAACATAACATCAAAATTTCGGCATGCTAGTTATGCAGAAAAAGATACACGATGACAGATGATAAACCACTTAGCAACAAGTACCATCCAGGATATGTTCACAGTTGCATCATCCATATATGCATTTGAACGTCAAAGTAGGAAATTTTCAAGATTGCAGGGCTTATACACACTTTAAAATATTAAAAAAGTCCAACCTGTTTCTGTACTTTATCAAGACTCATTTCCCACTTTTATGTAAACAGATCAACTCATCTGTTCTTCCTTTCACAGCATTGCAGTTCTCAGTAAAAGATGTCATCTCTCCAATCCAAATCAGTGGAGAAACAATGATGGGTGATTATTGTGCAAAGTGCAACTTTATAACATGAATCAAAGTAAAAGTGGAACAGAAATACGCGCATAGTGAGAAACAACTTAGTGATGGTATTTGAGATCTAAGGCAGGGAAGA